GCAGTATTATTAGCCTAATAGGCCTGATGAGGGAGATTATTCTTTTTTAAAATAGTTTTGAATTTCAACAACATGTACAGATGATTACTGCTAGACTTATGTATCAAGTCTTATAATGTTTCTGTGAATATACTTTATAAACAGACTTTTTTTCTTAAAGTCAGCACTGTACCTGCATTAGAGAATATAAAATGTTGTATTTCCAAGGGCTTATTAAATATTAAGTAGTTTTCTTTTTCTGTAGCTGAGTGTATCAAGGGCAAGCTTTGTGAGTCCTGCAGTGAAGTTCAAATGAACCTTAAAAGCTGCTACTGAATACTCACGTTAAAAAATATACCTTGCACAGTGAGGGGAATTGAAGGAGAAAGGAATTGAGATTGAGTAAATGGTATCCAGACTGGTCTTTCTGAGGGAATACTATAATGCTTTGGTAGATTTTATCTTAAAAGTTAACTATCAAACAACACATAAGGGTTTTAACAACAACCGACAATGCATTAACCACTTACCTGACTGTGAACCTGAAAGTTCTGATAATCCAGAAATTGTGCAATTTTTAGTCCTAAAACTGGATATTATTTGAAATTGCTTCAAACTCAGAGTGGCTCTTCCATATGAGATGCAAATCGAAATAGATCTTGTAAAGTTATCTACTTCCTACCTTACCATCTGCAAGCATCTTCCCCTTGTTTTAGGTTTGTGTACTTCACTGAAAAACAAGGTTATGGGTGATAAAACCAGTTATCATGAACTTTAGTAGGTCTTGGTAACTGAACTTTATTGATGAGATCATCAACGAGAGCTGGAATTTGTAACAGCTTTGTCTGAAATGTGATGCTTGTACACGTGAACAAGTGTTTTTTGCCTTCAAAATGTGAGCAGAGGGAATTGTCAGCCTATGGGGAGCTTTAACTACTTAATGAAGAACTTTCTGCATGCTTTGTGTTGCATACTAATCATTATAGTTTTCCTTTTACTGTGCTCTCTCCAGTCCAAATGCATTAAAAAATATATTAAATAATTTCTGGAAATGGCTACTTTTGGTGCCACTGGACTGTCTATACAGCATTCTCTCATTTAAGAATATTTTGTACCCAGGGGAAAATGAAAAAAGGAAAACAGGAGAAAAATATTATCTTGCTCATTGAAATAAACAAGAAGCTGCTATTTTTGGAAAACTTTTAAGAAATGAGAAAATAGTCATCATTATTAAGTTCTTATTTATAATTATTTAGCTCTTATTTGAGATCCTTATTATTTTTCATTGATCTAAGACGTGTTTAAGTCAAACTCTTCATTGTAAAACAGGAGGTTGAGGAAATTAATTTGCTGTACATCAAGGTGGAATTTGTCTTACAACTGGTCAAAGTCTATGTTTTCAGTAATTCCTGCAATGAAGGGTGGCTAATGATTCAAACAACAACAAAAAATGTTTTTCTGCAGCCTTTCCCAAATGATGATCTGTAAATCTCATGCTTCATGGAGCATGAGGGTTGTGGATGATACCAGTTACATTGTGGGATGCAGGAACAGGACTCAGCAGGGTGTCCCATCCACAAGAGAAGTTGGGAGTTTGAATCTACACCAACTTTGTCTGAAATGGGGATGGTTACTCCTATGAACAAAGCTGGATGTGTTTTTCTCAAGGCTCCTTGCCTTCAAAATGAGAAGATGGAATTAGGATGAAGCAAGAAAATAGCAGTTTCTAGTGTTGCAACTATATGTGAAAAGCTTGATAGATTCTTTTCAACCTATTGCCTGATTCTGTGTAGTACAATGTTAAGAAAGTGGTTTTGTTAATACAAAATAAAACTCTAAACGCTTTTTTTTCTGTTTGTTTGTATTGAGAGAAGTTCCTTTGGCCGTCGTTTTCATGTTTTGTGAGCCCTCTGACCCTGTTATTATTGCAGTAACATCCTAGATGCCTTGTGTGTAGGCAGTTCCGTCGTGAAACGTGCTGTACAAACTGTAATGTCCTAATGCCAGGAGTTCCCAGACTAAAACAAGATACAACAGAAGGCATAAGGAGTTACAGAAAGGAATGAGTGGCTTTGCTCAAAGTGTGAGACATATATGTGTACCTGTGTATCTGGGTAAATGAATGTGTACTTCTCTGTGTCTTATACTAATTTGAAGTTGTAGGATTATCAAGAAATCTAGCACCAGATTAATACATAACCCCTTCTTCCTTCCTTCCTTCCTTCCTTCCTTCCTTCCTTCCTTCCTTCCTTCCTTCCTTCCTTCCTTCCTTCCTTCCTTCCTTCCTTCCTTCCTTCCTT